GCGAACACACCCCTATACAGCTGGAGGCAAAGACACAGAAGTGGTCCAGGCCATGCCCTTGGCTTCATCCTTGCTGTTCCTTTCCCTCCCACCCCTGCATCTCCGCCATGTGCAAATTATGTCCACTTTGCCTTCAATCTATCTCCAGAATCCGTTCCTCCTGCAAAATGGCGACCAGAATATATAGGAGTTGCTCATTAACCCCAGCTGAACTTGTGGACTCTCTAGGAAATACGTCTTTTGCCCTTATTCTGGTTGTGTACAATTAAATTGGTGACCCAGCGAGTTGAAAGGACAGCAAGCACACTTGTAAGAGCCCCTCCATCCACCATTTTATGTAACGGACAGCACATTCTCTTTTTCTGTAACGACTTCTGTGAACCTGGCTCTCTCGTGAGACCAGGAGCCCTCAGCCTGGAAGCTCTCCTCCTTACACACAGAGTTTTGACTCTGGGTTTGGGTTTTGTGGCACAGACTCCCACTTCTGCCTCAGGAGGCTGAGCAAGGTTGAGCTGCCTCAGCGGCTCGGAGGCTGGCATAGAGCTTCCCACATGATCCAGCAAAGCAGCCTCCTTTGTCTGTCCCGTGGTTTCTCTATTTTTTTAAAAAAGGGAAAGCGGTTATTCCCTGAGTCATGCTGTATTTCTGTGACCCATAGTAACACCCTGAGAAATATCTCTAGAAGCTACATGGTTTCAAATCAATGACATAAAATTAAGCAGTCTGCCATGACTCCTTCTGCAAAGTCTAGAGAAGTTGCATCAGCTTTTGGGGGAGGACCCGTCAAAACGCTCTTCAGATGGGGAGCTAAACTTTCATATGTAGCCGGTGGGTAAGGAGAGGCCAGTGGGGTTACTGGCCACCATGGGCTCCACCCACAATTCTGCTCTATCCATGCGAGCCCCTGGTTGAGAAGGTCTGACTGCTGGGAAGTTGCTGGAGCAATAAGCTTGCACAAAGCACAGCAGGCTGCTCCCCAAGACACTGGGCTCAGCACAGCACTAGCTTGATGTTTTGTTCCGGCAATTCTGTTTTACAGCAATTCTGTTTTACAGACTCAAATAAAATTGTGCAAAGATGTCAATTACTGGGAAGTCACAAGCTCTTCTGCTTTTTTTTTTTTCTGTCTGCCTTGCCCCCACTCCCTGTCCCTAGTCCTGTGCCCAAATATTATTGTAGGCAAACAAAGAATCTTACAAACGCGATACAAATCAAGACTTTTTCAAAAAGGACTACTAGAAAAGTTGATCAAATATGAAGAAGGTTCTCCGGAGAAAATGTGTTTTGTTGCTACAGTGTCCAGTGGGTCTAGTGGTGTTGGCCCCTGGTGTTTGGACAAGGAGTTACTTGCTCATTGACAAAGTTTGGGTTCTGGGCATCTGCCAGAGCCCCAGCAGGGGTGGCCGTGGATGTGGGCCATGTGCGAGGTGCCTAGGGGAGGCGAGGTGGCATTCTGTGTCCCCAGAGCCTAAGATGTGAACGGGTTCTGATGCGAATCCAACCTTGGGCTTGGTCCCACTTGTTTCCATTTCACCCATAAGTACCCTGCCTTGTGTTCAATGTAGGGCATGCTCAGAGCTCCCAGTCTCCTGTCCTCATGCTGCTTGGCTCAAGAGTGATTTCTGAGAAGCCTTCCCTGAAACCTCTGACTAGGTCCCTGGGTCTTTGAACTCTTACCACACCAATTTAGTTCCTCCCGTGTTACTTAGCACATCTTATGGCAACTGCCTCTTTTGTCAGATTACACACTCCTTGCGGGTAAATATTTCATCTTAATTCATCTTGGTGTCCCAAACCTGACAAAGTAGCCACTTGTTTCAGCTAGCTATTGCCAGGTAACAAACTGCCCCACTCTGTGGCTTCAGACAACAATCACTTATTATTATAGCTCACTGGTCAGTGGACCTGCTGGGGGTAGGCTGCTTAATCTAGACTGTACTTGGCTGATCTCCGCTAGGTTCCTTAATGCATGTGGGGTCATTTGGGGTGTCTGCTCTGGACTGGGCTTGGCTGGAGCCATTCTGCTCCCCATGTCTCTCATCTTCGTCACATGACCAGCAGGCTAGTCTGGGCATTTCCTCCTTACAGTGATGGCAGAAAAGCAAAAGGGTAAGAGGAACCAGCAAGGGCCCTGAGATGCAGGCCGGGTCTTGGTAGTACTCTGTCACTGCCACCCCATCTTAGTGGACAGAGCTAGTCTCACAGTCGAAGCCACACTCAAGGTGGAGAAATGGATTCTGCCTTTTTTGGGGGTGGGGTACTGCATGGCAAAAGACGTGATAGGGAGGGTGAAGGAGGGGGTTCATTACCCTGATCTGTCATGCCTTGGAGCCCATACCTTTGGCAAGTTCAGGCTCAGCTTGGCCTCAATTCTGTTCTCAGTCAGAAGGGATTTTGGGTTTCCCAGTTTGGTGCAGACCCAACATCGGTCACCAGGCTTGCTTCCAGGCTGCTCGCCTGGTTAGTATCTAGCATCCAGCCGAGGAAATGCACCCTGCTTTGAAATGGGTGGGAGGAGCTTGCAAAGTCCTCCAGCCTTGCCCTGCAAGTTAGCACCTGCTGATTTTTGAGAAATGTCACCTCAACTGCCTGCCTGCATCATAACATGTACTCTGCTCTGAGATTCCTCTTTGTATGTTCACCCTCCACCAAGCCACCCACTGATCCTCGCTGGGCATCCTTGATGTTTCTTACCAAGGGCTGAGGATGAGGGTTTGTCTGCCAGCCCATGTCCCCGTGCACCCCTACACTTGGGTCTTCTCTTGTGCCTAACTCCAGTGGGATTGTCAAGTTTGAGGTCTTGAAACTCAGGTTTTGAGTATTAAGTTTCTAGTGCTTTGTTTTGTTGCAGCTGAACAGAAACCAAACAAGAGTAGACCTTGTATTTTAAAAAAAATATCTTCCATTTATTTTATTTTATTTCATCCTATTAAGAGCCCTATGTGATGGAGGGGATTTTAAGCTAAGAAAACCAAAGAGTGACAGAGTATATGCCACTTTCCTGAAATCAACAAGCAAGCAAGTAGTAGAGAGTCTAGATTCAAGCCTGGTTACCCCACTTCTAGTTTAGAGTTCTCATTCCTGTTCTCTGACTGCTCCAGTGGTTAATAAAAAACTCCCCAAAGCTGTTAGTTGTGGAAGTGACATCATGGAGAGCAGTGAATCAGGTATCAATTAATGCTTTTAGGGATTCTACTGGTCCCTGTCCCTGTACCATCCTTGTACTTCTTTTGACTATGTGGGACATTGGGGAGATGGTGTCAGGTGGATCACCTGTGCCCTTAGGAATTGCTGCAACAGTAGTTCTCAGAGTGTGGTCCTCAGAGCCTCAGCATCACCTGGTTACCTGGGCTCTGCCCTACACCTACTGAATCGGAAGCTCTGGGAGCAGGGCCTAGCCATCTGTGTTTTCATGAGCCCTCCAGGTGATTCTGTTGCGTGTGGGAGTTGGAGAACCACTGATCTGGAAAATTTCAAGACATCCCTAGCTTACTGGTGACTGTTGTGGTGGTATAAGGGGCCAGTGAAGTCAAGCAGAGCTTAGGTACATCAAGACACCCTTCCACGTCTACAAGCACTACCATCAGAGTTGGGGGAGGGAGGACAGGGAGGGACAGGTTCATGAAACGGCGTTTGGAGGGCTCTGATTGTTGTGATTGTCTTTGTACTGGGTGCACGTAGGTTGGAAGGACCGGCCGACTTACCTCACGGGACAGAGGGACAAGATGATCAAGCTAAAGTCTTTTCACGCTATACGGCTCACCCACCCTCTCAGTTCTCACTACCCCCGCCTTCCGGGTGGAAGTCCTCAGCGGTGCCTTTGAGCTGTTATCCTCGGTTTCACTGTTCCTGGTATTGAGTGTGCCGAACCCAAAACAAAACACGCCAGGGCGTATGCTGTTTGGTGCTAAGCGACACCGTCGGTCTGCAGGTGTGGCTTTGGGGATGGAAAGGACTCTCTGTTACTCTGAAGATGCCAGGAGGCATGAATGAATGTCAAGGCGAGTCAGCAGAGACTCGGAAGCCCCGGTGAATGTGATGTTCACGGCTTCTCTTGATAGTGTCCACCCTCTCCCTACAGATTCAGCCTGGGTCTCCTCCTCCAGGAGGGCCACCATCACAGCCTGGGTTAGAGCTCCATCCCTGTGCTCACCTCTGTGGCAGTCATTACCATGTGGTGTTATAATTTCCTGATTGCTTATTTATCTCTCCTCTAGCTCTGGATCCCTGAGCAAAGGGTCTGTAAGCCAGGCCTCTGTACTCCAGCAGTCCACCTCCTAAGGTTTAACACCATGATGGACCATAAGTCGGTGCCCAGGAGATGTTTGTTGAAGGCACAGTGACTCTAGAAAAGCTTTACAGCCTGTCTCCCTGACAGGCAGGAGCCGAGGATGCTCTGAGCGGGAAACCAGATAAGGACACCTCTTACCTCTGCTTACAGCATGAATAACTCCTGGACGGTCACTAGCACCAGTCTCCTCAGGGAACACCAGGTCACAACCAGGGAAAACTGGACAAAATAAACTCACTCATTTAAGGAGACAAAGAAAATCCAAAGAAGAAAGATAAAAGAGCCCCAAAGAGTGCAGGCTTACCAGGGAGCCCAGAGCAAGATGGTAGACCTGTGGCTTCCTCTTTTTTTTTTTTAAGATTTTATTTATTTATTTGTTTGAGAGAAAGAGAGAAAGTGTGAGCAGGGGAAGGGGCAGAAGGAGAAGGAGAAGCAGACTTCCCACGGAGCGGGGAGCCGGACGTGGGGCTCGATCCCAGGACCCTGAGATCATGACCTGAGCCAAAGGCAGATCCTTAACCGACTGAGCCATCCAGGTACCCCTGTGTCTCCCTCTTTTTTTAAAATTAAGCTTTTATTTTGCGATCATTGTAGATTCACATGCAACCGAAAGATGATGCAGAGAGATCCCACATGCCTTTTCTTCAGTTCCCCCAGAGGTAGTTCTCCTGCAACGCTATATTACAACATCACAGCAGAGATACTGACATTGATCCCAAACATAGGTTTTATTTCCAATTCCCAGTTTCACTTGCACTCGTGTTTGTGCATTTGGTTCCACAGACCTTAATCACACATGCAAGCTCAGGTGTCCATTGCCACAGTCAAGATACTCAGTGGTTCCAACACCACTAGGGCCCCACATGTGACCCTGTTATGACTACAGCTGGCCCCTCCCAACCCCCAACTCCCAATGCTGGCATCCCCTAATCTCTGCAATTTCTGTGAGTTAGTCACTTCAACAATGTTTTGTAAATGGAATCATAGAGTACGCAACATTTTAGGATGGGTTCCAGCTCGGTGTATTTCCCTGGAGACCCACCGTTCTAGATGTTGCATGCAACCATGCTTCGTTTCTTTTACCATCTAGTGGCAGTCCAGGGGACGGATGTACCTCCCTTTCTTTCGCCATTCACCCCCTGAAGGACATCTGGGACTTCATGCCCTTGGGACAAAAGCCCAAGAGTGCAATCGCTGGGTTGTCTGGTAATTGCATTCATTTTTTTAAGAAACTGAGTGGCTCTCCTGTTCTGTGGGCTTCCTCTGAACCCTTGAGGAGGAGAAGATAAACGTCTAGCCTTGCCATCAAACCCCTCACCCTCAGACACCCGCTAATGGGCCTGGCGGGATCTGGACAACACCAGAGTAGAGACGAGGTTAGGAGCCCAGGGTGAGAGACTTAGGGGACCTCCATCTCAGGGTCACAACTCTGTCCTTCCCTCACCGAGAGTGAGCACCTCCTCTGATTCTGCTTCTGGGGTACCTCACTTGCTTCCCCTGGTCCCCACCCCAAAGGACATTTCCAGAATAGACATCTGGAGGCATTGGTTCCTAAGCCAGATTAAAAAATATGGGGGCAGGGGCCCACAACTTTCAAGCGAGGGAGTTTTAGGATTCTTAAGGAGATTTTTAGGCGGTTTCTCCCCTGGCTCCAAGCAGTCGTGCCCTTGAGGAGGTGGTGAGGATGGAGTAGCCGGTCCTGCAGGATGGAGATCTGCTGGAAAAGGGCTGGGAGCTCTGGTTGCCTCCACCAGCCCAGGTGTTGGCATGAAGGAGCCAGCTCCCCGCACACGCCTGTCCTTGCGGGTCCTGGGTGCTCGGCTGGAGAAGGGGAAATAGGGAAGTTAAACTAGCCCAGCTGTCTTCCTGGGCTGGGATCTGGGGGCTATGACATCAGGGGAGGTCTTGGGAAGGAGGCAGACCATGCATAGGCTCTATGAGTCCCCGGAAGGAAAACAGGGTCCCTGGTGCCTGCACCTTCCTCCAGAGTACCCTCACCCTCACAGGTAGAGCCCTGGTCACTGCCTCCGCAAAATAAGGCATGAGTGCACCAGTCCCAAAAAGCACAGCTGTCACAGAAGCTGTCCTCGGGGAGCTCTGCCCAAGCGAAGAAGGACGGCGGAGGGACCTCCAGGGTACGGCTGCTGATGCCGCCCAGGGACACGGGGCTCCACCAACCGCACTTTTGTGCTTACAGACGGAAATTTCACATAAAAACTACCCCTGATGGTTTGAATTTCCAAATCCAAGGGAAGCCGCATCCAGTTGAAGCAGAGGACAACTTCTTTCTTCCCTGTGATCAGGAAGTCCCATGATGATACCCAGACTGCTGCAGTGCATCTCAACAGCATGGGAGCCATGGACCATATCCAGGCACCACAGGGCGACCCCGATGCGGAAGAAGCCTCCTTCCACAGAGAGGTCGTGGGGTACTAGGAGGCAGCGTGGCGCTGTGCCCTGTGACGGGAATCCAGCCCCTCGCCTGCAGGATTTTCAACCCTGCACGTGCCTGGCCTGCAAGGGTGTGGGGTCTGCTCAGCTTCTCGCACCGGGAAGATAACCAGCACTGCCCAAGGGGTTCACAATCCAAACCCAGAGTTGGTGTCTGCAGAGCGCCCTGCCCCAGGCCCTGCTGAGGGCTGGCGTTAGGCTCCCTGACCCCCCGGGTCGGTGGCTCCGCTTGCTTAGCAGTTTTCACTTCTTTTGAACTATAATTACCTAACTCTGAAGGAAAATAAGAAGCGTCAACAAACAGTTGGGAAGTAAAATCCACATGCACAGCTGATGGGACATGTGGGTTGGAATTTCTGCCAAGAAGTTGTGTGTCTGTGTGTGCGCACATGAACACTGTATATTTGTGTGTGTGTCTGTGTCCGAGAGTAGGTGTATTTACCTTTATACAAACACGTGGATGTGGATGTGGATAGACGTGTCAGTGAGTATCTGAGTGAGTTGGCATGTATGTGCCTCCGTGTGGGTAAGTTTGCCAATGTAAGCATCTATGTGTTGCTGTGTGTCTATGTGGCTTTGCACATATGTGTATGTCTGTAGCTAGTGTGTGTCTATGTGTGCACGTGTGGATGTGTGTGTGTGTGCATACACTTGTATAGGGTGGGGGCAGAAGCAAAACGAGACCCCTAAATAGAATCATTGAGCAAAGGGCCGAAGTCAGAGCTGGAAATTAGAGCAGCGTGCCCTCAGGAGAAGGATGCCAAATCCAAAGTGAAAATTCCTTGGTTTTCTTGCTATGACGCCTGCTAGAAACCCCAGCCCCAACATCACTGACACCCGCGTCACAGAGCTCGGTTCCTTTCCTCCTGAGGAAGTGAGAAGGAGATGTAGTCCTTTGGCTTCAACCTGTGGTTGCTAAATGCCTTCCTAGCTGGGTTCCCCACGGGAGGCATCAGCCCTGGACTTCCCCTTTCTCCACAGCCCCTGCGTCTTTGTGATCTAAAAGTTGAGCCTCTGTGGCTAGGGCATGCTGAAATAGACTGAGCTTCTGATTTGGTTGCTTGGGTTTCTGGGATTTACAGCAGGGGCAGGAAACCTTCCAAATGTGGCCAGCTGGTCAAGCTGTTAGTCCTTGTTGATCTGTCTGGGCAAGGGTGTGTGTGTGTGTGTGTGTGTGTGTGTGTGTGTGTGTGTGTGTGTGTAGAGGGGGCACAAGTGAGAGACACAGATGGGATTAACTTTCAAGAGACAGGAAGAGGGAAAAAGAAACCACCATTCCACATGTTACTAACAATCCTTCTGCACCATCTTTGGCGGCTTCTTGGTTGGGTCCAGAGTTTGAGGCCAGACTATCTTTGTCTTACGTATAGGAAGGTCAGTGTATCAGTAATCCTTCTGCCACAAAAATATGGTGCAAATTTCATTCCAAAACTCAGTGTTTGTCTTACTTATCATGTCATTTATTCGTGTTATTATTTTGTGTCTTTTCTTTTTTTTCTTTTTTTTTTAAAGATTTATTTATTTGAGAGAGTGAGAATGAGAGAGAGAGAGAGTACATGAGAGGGGGGAGGGTCAGAGGGAGAAGCAGACTCCCTGCGGAGCAGGGAGCCCGATGCGGGACTCGATCCCGGGACTCCGGGATCATGACCTGAGCCGAAGGCAGTCACTTAACCAACTGAGCCACCCAGGCGCCCGTGTCTTTTCAATAATTGGGCCTGAACCAATCAGATGAGTCCTTACAGGAGACTGGGACCTTCCTAGAAATAGCATGAGAAGGACCCTGTGTGTGGGGGGGAGACAGATGCTGGCTTTGGAGATGGAGGGGGCCACATGACAAGGAATGCAGGCACCCTCTAGGAGACAAGAATGGTCCCTGGCTGATGACCATCAGGGAAGCAGGGACCTCAGTCCTACAACCCCAAGGAACTGAATTCCTCCACTAACCTGAATGAACTTGCAAGTCGGTTGTCTCCCAGAGCCACCAGAAATGAACCCAAGCTGGCAGCCACCTCGTGTCAGTCTTATCTGACCCTGAGCAGAGAACCCAGCTGAGCCTTGCCTGGGCTTCTGACCTACAGAACTGTGAACCATGAAATGGGTTTTGTCTTAGGCTGCTAAGTTGGTGATATTTGTTATGTAACAATAAGACATTAATATAGTCTAATTACCTTCTCTGAAGGAGAAAGGAAAAACTCGGTAGGAAGAACACAAATTAATATCGCACTGAATTAGCCCGCCACACCTGATTTCATACTTGGTCTCCCACAGTGGTTAGCAATTGCCCAAATTACCATATCTTCACCAGCAATGAGCTTTATGATTTTATTTTAACCCCTGACAAGTGAAAGTGTCAATTCATTGTTATTTTAATGTGCATTTATTTCCTTGCCTTCTAGTGAGAAACACCCTTTTTATATGCTTCTTAGCATAGCGGCTGTTAGCTGTTAGGAACATGCTATTTTAATTTCCAGCTGGATGTATTTTTCTATTTAATTTTTACAGCTAATTTCTCTGTTTCTACAGAACCCCTACACATTAGGTGCTATAAAAATATTTGCTGAGCCAATGTCTGCATTAAAAAATAATGAATGAATAAATAAGTCTTCAAGAGCAGATGAGGGCTTTTACTACTGAGAAATTCAGCCTTTTGATGTCAGGACAGGACTGCAGGTGGCCCAGTGGAATCAGTTCAGTAAAGCAGAGACCCACCTGACATTCAAACGCCCTTGGCCATATCAGCCTCCAAGGAAGTTGGTCAAGCAGTAGCCAGCGGGGCAGAAGACATTACAGAGCAGACCAAGAGACAAGAGTGGCAAGAGATGGGGAATCACCGTGAACAGACATCTGACAGGTGGTTGGGCTGCTCTGGGGTGGATGGTGGTGCAGTCCACTGCTTTCTGCCATCAGAGATGCAAGACTAGGTCCAAGTATTGGTTTGTTGGAAACATATTTATCATTTTTTTAAATTTGTTTGGAAACTATTATTACAAAAGTAACATATTTGATATTTTAAATACTTCAAAGCGTTTAGAAGTATATAAAATACAAGGTAAAATATATATAAATTGTATATAAAATACAAGAAACCCTTAATCTTGCTCCTCTCAGATAACGCCCTTTGGGTTATGTACATAATGGTGAAAGGAAAAATGGGTTGAGCTATGCATACTGTCTGCAACATACTTTATTTTCAATTAAGAAAATATTGTGGCTATATTTTCAGAGATACAAATTTCGGATCAGGGAACTGAGGTCCATAGATCCCCAGAAGTCTCCCTGGGTATATTCAGGACACTCATGGCCCCTGAAATCTCGGGTGCTTTTTCAAGGGTTTGAGGACATTCCCTTGGTCTCTGAGCAAAACAACTCCTATATCATTTTTAAGTCTTTTCTGACATTGTGATCATTTTTAAAAATTGAGATGTTCTTCACATATAAGATTGTGGAAATTTAAGGTGTACAACGTGTTGATTTGATACACTTACGTGTTGCAATATGATTGCCTCTGTAGTGTTAACCAACACCACTGTCACATCACAAAATTATCATTTCTTTTTTGTGGTGAGAATATTTAAGATTGACTTTCTTAGCTCCTTTCGAGTATATGAGCAGTTTCGTTAGTTATAGTCACAAGGCTGTGCATTAGATCCTCAGAACTTACTCATCTTCTAACTGCAAGTTTGTACCCTTTGACCAACATTCCTTCTCTCCAAACCACCATTCTACTCTGTTATCTATAAGTTCAGCTTTTTTTGGATTCCATAAATAAGTGAGCTCATACAGTATTTATCTTTCTCTGTCTGGAACTTCCCTCACTTAGAATAATGCCCCCAGTGTCCATCCATGTTGTCACGAATGGCAGGATTTCCCTCTTCTTATGGCCAATTAAGATTCCTTTATATACATCTTCTTTATCCATTTATCCATCAATGGACACTTAGGTTGTTTCCATATCTTGGCTATTGTAAATAATGCTGCAGTAAACATGGGGGTGCATATGTCTTTTTGGTATTCTGTCTTCATTTCCTTTGGACATATCCCAGTAATGGAATTGCTGGATTATAGGGTAGTTCTATTTTTAATTGGCTGAGGAATCTCCATATTGTTTTCCTTAGTGACTAAACCAACTTACATTCCCACCAACCGTGCACAGCAGGTCTTCTTTCTCCACATCCTCACCAATTGTTATTTCTTGTTATTTCTGGTCTTTTTGATGACAGCTACTTGAACAAGTGTGAGGTGATATCTCACTGTGGTTTTGATTTGCATTTCCCCGTGTTGAGCATCTTTTCATATGTCTGTTGGCCATCTATATGTCTTCTTTGGAAAGATGTGTATTCAGTTCCTCTGCCCATTTTTTAATCAGATATTTTTGGTTATTAAGTCGTGACATTGTAGTCATTCTATTAAATTGCGATGCCTTTTATGAAATTGCCTCTCGATGCTGAATATCTTCAGGCTCAGAAACTCCTTCATAATTTCGGCAATGACACTGGGAGATTAGGAGTACTTATTAAGTCAAATGCAGATAAAAATCCCAACTTGTTTGTTCCTTTCTTGCTTACTGTTCAGTAGATCTGAGCAGGACATTATCAGGATCCCTTTGGGATTCCTTTTGGGTCTGCTCTACTGCCCTGTCCTCCCTGTAAGTCTGTTGTTTCTATGGCAGTGTGGACACCGTTGGTCTTTTTCTTTTTTTCTAGTTTTATTGAGGAATGATTAATATACATCACTGTATACATTTAAGGTGTAGAACATGATGGTGTGATTACCACTCGTCTTTAAATGGGTAATAGGCCAATCATTAAAGCTTCAGACCTCACTTACCATGTCTGTGAGAACACCATCCCCTCAGAGATTTTCATGCTGTCCCCTCCCAGAACAGTCTCTGTGTGTGTGGCTCAGGGGACTGCCACCATGTGAACGGCAGGCATGGCATGGGCATCTGATGACTGATCCTCACATGTGGGTGTAGGTTGTAGGGGATGGACAGGGTAGAGATGTCTAGGAAGGAATTAGGGTAAGAAATAGAAATTCAGCATCTCTTTAGGAAATCATAGTTTGAAAAATTTGTTAATGAAATTTTGACACTCAGGTTTTGTGAAACTACCCTTTTGTAATGAGACAGCATGTTAGTCTAGGTACAAGAACTGCTAATTCAAGCCACAGCACCTCTTTGGGGATGGGCATGCATTCTGCTTCTGTATGCCAATGGTTTGCGACACCTGAGGTGGACGACCACAGGTTCATGAGCAGATACTCTGAATTCACAAATCAGGGCAAAGTTGATTTGTCTGCCTGGGTCCTTTAAAAAGCAGAAGCCAAGATGGGACTAGGCAGATGAGAGATTTATGGGAGGATATGCCTGTGAAGGATAGACAGAGAGGGGCAGGGAGATGGGGAAAGCCTTCAGATTGATGCAGGTCTAACATCTGGGAAAAGAGAAGGAAGGAAGGAATACATAAGAAGGACCTCGGACTACAACCTCAGCTGGTGGGGGTTCCTGGGCAATGGTGCCCAGCAATGGAATGCCCAGCTCTGGTCCCTGGCAGCATGTTTAGTCATTGGCTGAGTGCCACCTTGGGAAAGTGTGGCCATGGAGCTAACGCCGTGGAGAATCCAAAGCTGCAGCAGCTGGTGGTGTGTGTCTACCAAGCAGGTTCTACCTACTGGTCTACCTGTAGCCAGTTCTCTTGAAGAGAGATGTGAACACCTCCAGGGGGACCTGTATGTTATCTCAGAGGGCAGTCACTCTGCTGAGATACTATTGTCACCACTAGAATGGACACCACAACTATCCTGGCTGAAGAGGACTTGGCTTTGCCAGAAGCACACAGAGCTCTTCTGGAGACAGAGGGTCATCTTGTGTCTTGTCTCTCTAGTGACCCAGGAACCCTTACCTGGGACTGACTCTGTACCTCGCAAGTCAGGACAATGAGCTGCTGACCTGTGCTAAATGCTTTGCAGGCATGATTGTATTTACTCTTCATGGACACTCTAGGACCTGGGCTGTTGTCACTAACCTGCGTGCAGGGGACACATCTGAAGCATGGGGATGGTTGCATGACTTTCCCAGAGCATGCATGTGGTCAAGGCGGAGTTGAGACCAAACCTAAGCTCTCAGTCCTCAGAGCTCTTGTGCTACAACTTCCATCACAAACACACGACTCATGTTTGTCTGATGAATGAAAAATGTTTGAAGAAATGCAAAGTCTTGTTAGTGTAAATCCGAATCCTGAGGATGCAGAGAAGGAGGCGGCCATGAGAGATAGCCCAGCAGGCTGCAGGCAGGCAGATCACAGAAATCAGGGTCAATCTGAAATTCATCCATTCACAAAACACACTTCCATCAAGGCTCCTTGTCTGGGAGGTGTATGGGGCACTGGGAACACACAGGATGTGCCACCTGGGCTCACTGTCCAACAAGAGTAGAGTAGCAGCCTTGTGTAGAGATAGGAGAACAGTGCTAAGGAAGGATGGAAGAGGCGGTACCTCACTCTGCCTCCAGACACCAGGACAGCCTCCTGTGCTAGATGACACATTGGCAGAATCTCCTAGGAGAAAGAGGTGTGAGCTAGGTGGGCAAGGAGGAGAGGCTCACGTGGAGGAGGCAGCGTGCACAAGCCTGGAGGCACATTTGTGGGAATGCCCCATGGTGACAGTGCAGTGTTGGCTGAATGGAACACAGTGGAGGGAGACGAGCCTGGGGAAACCAGCATAGGTCACAGCAGGATGACTTCCTCTCGACGACTGCACGTGATGATCTTCAGCTGGGGTGGCTTCTTGTGCCCGACTTTACTGAGGCAGGTGGCTGATCACTCAGAACTGGGCTGTGGTTCTGCCATCAAAGCCGTGTGTGTGGGTGTGGGTGTGTTACAGGGGGGGTGGGCAGAGACTGGTGGTGTTCAAAAGGTCAGCATAGTAAATATGCAATTACAAATAAGAAAAGACCATTAAGCTAAAATTAACAAGTCAGGAAATGACAGATGTTGGCAGGGATGCGGAGAAAGGGGAACCCTCCTACACTGTTGGTGGGAATGCAAGCTGGTGCTACCACTCTGGAAAACAGTATGGAGGTGCCTCAAACAGTTGAAAATAGAACTACCCTACGATCCAGCAATCGCACTACTGGGTATTTACCCCAAAGATACAAATGTAGGGATCCAAAGGGGTACGTGCACCCCGATGTTTATAACAGCAATGTCCACAATAGCCAACCTGTGGAAAGAGCCAAGATGTCCATCGACAGATGAATGGATAAAGAAGAAGTGGTATATATATACACAATGGAATATTATGCAGCCATCAAAAGGAATGAGATCTTGCCATTTGCAACGACGTGGATGGAACTGGAGGGTGTTATGCTTAGTGAAATAAGTCAATCAGAGAAAGACATGTATCATATGACCTCACTGATATGAGGAATTCTTAATCTCAGGAAACAAACTGAGGGTTGCTGGAGTGGTGGGGGTGGGAGGGATGGGGCGGCTGGGTGATAGACATTGGGGAGGGTATGCGCTATGGTGAGCGCTGTGAATTGTGCAAGACTGTTGAATCACAGATCTGTACCTCTGAAACAAATAATACATTATATGTTAAAAAAAAAAAAAAGAAGAAGATAGCAGGAGGGGAAGAATGAAGGGGGAAAAAAGAAAAAGAAAAGAAAAGACCATTAAAGTAATGACTAAAAGGCTTAATGAGACCCCTGGTTTTAAAGGATCCCCCTGGTAGAGGCTGAAGGACAGAAGGCTGGGAGAATGGGCTCCGTCCAGGTGGGGAGCAGAGGGCCAGAATGAAGTCCCTGGTCATGGGAAAAGAGAGAAGCAGGCCTGCCCAAGGGGCAGGAAGGGCGTCGGGGTAACGCCATGGGGCTGAGCCGGCAGAGCGGTAGAACACTGAAGCTTCTTCCCTGGACAGGAGACTCTCAAGAAACTGGCCCCCTCCCGACCAATGGATGGGGTTTGGGGCTCGGGGGCTGTCCCAGTCAGCGTGAATCATCGTAACAAACTCCCACAGACTGAGGATCTAAATCACAGACATTTGTTTGTCACAGTTCTGGAGGCTGGAAGTTCAGAGTCAAGGAGGTGGCAGAGTCAGTTCTAGATGAGGACCGACAGATGGCTTCTTCTTTATGTGGTCGAGGTGGTGGGGTGGGGGGTGGGGGAGTGACCGCCTGTCTCTTCTTACAAATGCCGAACCCATCCTGACAGCCCCACTCTCATGACCTCACCTAACCCTAATCATCTCCCAAAGACCCCACTTCCACATAACATCACATGGAAGTTAGGGCTTCAACATACGAATTTGGTGGGGCACATGCCTTCAGTCCATGACAGGAGCTCTGCCTGGCAGGGGGTAGGGGCAGGAGGCAGGACTGGCCCATGACCATATCAGGCAGAGGATGGAGGAGCTGAGCAGCAAAGGGAAGTCCCTGGGGCTGTGACCTTGAAGAGAGAGAGAAGAACCAGAATCGGGGCAGGACTGCAGCCCAGAACAGCAAGAGCAAGTTCTGGTGTCAGACAGTAGGTGTCCTAAAGGCCCGCGAGAGTCAGTGTGGGAATGAAAATCCTTGTGGCCATCTGAAATTGTGCCTTGGGTCATTGTCCTGTGAATGGAATAAAGTGAAAGGATGTGTTTAGTGATCAGATCAATAATTTCATGGCTTCCCCAAAGAGCTCCTCGCAGTCACCATGCATCAGAGCACCTGTTCCCACATCCCTGCCAACACTGGTCCTTGTTGGCTTTATTTGTGTTTTGTGTTTGTTTGTGTAAGTAAAATTTTTATTACAGTATGGCGTTGTTTTGCTTTCCTTGGCTGGCATAACAAATTACTATAACCAGACATTTATCCTTTCACAGCTCTGGAGGTTGGAAGTCTGAAACCAAGGTGTTTGGCAGGGCCACGCTCCCTCCGAAAGCTCTAGGGGAGGGACCCTTCCTCGCCTCCCTCTAGCTTCAGGTAGTCCCCCGTGTTCTCGGTGCTCCTGGGCTTGTGGATGCATCACTTCCATCTCTGTCTCCTCCTCACAGCACCCTCTCCTCTGTGTGTCTGCCTTTTCCTTCTTTTTTAAAAGGACCCTAGTTACCAGATTTAGAGCCCACCCTAATCCACAATGATCTCATCTCAAGATCTTTAACTTGATTACATCAGCCAAGACCCATTTTCCAAATAAGGTCACATTCACAGCTGGTGGGGAGGCAGTTAGGACTTAGACGCATCTTTGTGAGGACCACTGTCCACCCCGCTGCAGACAGGGATACATGTAAAAGTTCACAAATCATAAGTGGACAGTTCAGTGAATTTTTGTACATGGAGAACCCTCGTGTAAGCACCTCCCAGAACAACTGCACAGAGTCCCCACAGACGCCCCCTCCTCGTCATCCCCTGTCGTCCTCCCAGAGTCGGCCTCCATCCTGACCTCTGCCACTATCCACCAGCTTTGCTTGGCTTTGCAATTTATGTGGCTGGAATGCTGTCTACCTGGCCCTGGGGGTATACCAGTTCTCCACTCTCAGTTTCTTCTAGCTATATACAGAAACTCAAGAGATCACTGACTAGTTGATGAAGTAATAGAAATTAATAAAATAACCCCAAAATCACTGTAAGTACACCAAAGTAAATAAGTAAATAACTTTTCTGTTTAGAAGCATTTAACCAGTTAAAAATATAATTTAAAAAATCCCACTTATAACAGCACCCACAAATAGAATAGCTAAGAATATCCTTAATAATAAATATAAGGGACAAAATAAATAAAACTAAAAATTGAGCTGACAAATATTTTTTTTAAAGATTATTTATTTATTTATTTTTGAGAGAGAGAGAGAGAATGAGAGAGAGAGAAAGCACATGGGGGGGAGGGTCAGAGGGAGAAGCAGACTCCCTGCTGAGCAGGGAGCCTGATGCGGGACTCAATCCAGGGACTCCAGGATCATGACCTGAGTCGAAGGCAGTCGCTTAACCAACTGAGCCACCCAGGCGCCCGAGCTGACAAATATTTTTGTTTTCAGAAGGAGTAGCCATGTCTTGCACCGGAAAAAAATGCTAGGTTTTAAAGTGAATACCTTTCCCAATTGAAACTGGAAGAGTAAATAAGAGGAAACACCCAAGAAAATCTTCTACAGAAAGAAAAATGAAGCAGAACTGGTTCTACTAGATTTTATACCGTGTGATAAACCTGAAACAAGTGATCCTGAGCATCACTGATAGAAGAAGCAGTAGCCGATCAATGAACCGTGAATGGCCAGAAACTGATCAGTATTTAACATATGTTAAGGGAGGTGTCACTCAACAATGGAAAATGAAAGATTTCTCAATCAAAGATGATACCATAGTTGGCAAGATATTTGGGGAAAATGTCCGCTTCTAACTTTACCACACACCAAAATAAACTGCAGATTGATCACAGCTCAGTTATTTTAAAAAAATAGGGGGGAAAAAAACAGCTCCTTGGTTTTTGGATGGAGAAAGGACTTTCTAAGTTTAAACTCAATGAGAGGCAATCAAAAGGAAAAGATAGATTTGAATTCATATAAAAATTACATGTCAAACATCACAAAAGAATGGACAGCCAATTACAGGTTTAAAATGGTTTTTTTAAATACACAATATTGAGAAAGGGTTTAAAACTTCAATAAATAAATTGCTCATATAAATCAATGAGAAAAGCTGGAATATTCCATTAAGGAAATGGGAAAAGAAAACGCATAGAAAACTCATAGAGGTAAGTACAAGAAGCTCACCAACAAATGACAATTTAGGCAATCTTACTAAGAATCAAAGAGAAGCAAAGTTGAAGATAAAGGCCAATTTTTGCCTCCTGACCTAGTAATACTAGAGTTTGTAAAGATGCAGATAAGCCGTGCATTTTTTAAATCTAATGAACCATCTTTTTGAGAATAAATTTAGCTGTTTGTGTCAAAAGCTCAAAGCATTTTAATAAATGTAGAAAAAACACAAGTGTTTAAACAGTACATATAATCAATATAAAGTAAATAAAAATACTAGGGAAAGTAAATAAAAGACACCCAAACCTTGCAGTGTTATATCTCATATTTGGTGTTCTCTATACTTTTCTAATTTTCAAATGACTTTTATCTTCAGGGGGGAAAAAAAAGGATTGATAAAACAAATGGGAAATGCTAAGTGCATTCTCCGCATCACCAAGGGAATCACTGTTGCCATGTGGTAACAGGATAAGGGTGTGAAGATACCAACAATGGGAAACAGACAAACATACCTCTTTGTTCATAAAAAACTGAGTGTCAGCACATAAACTCAATCAATTGGTAGTTATTTGGTGACCTCCAGGTAAATAAAATCTCCTACTAAATGGAATTTACTCTACTTCATTCAGCAGAGAAGGTCATGTTTAAGACTAAAAGGTTAATGAGCAGGACTGTTTCAGGTAGAACAGCCGGGGGAGGACACTAGTCCAGGAAGGATTGTGTGCAAAGATGGGAGGTCTCAGCCAGCTGGAGAGCTGGAGAGAAGGTGGGTGGATGAGAATGTGGACAGGAAAACAGGGGCTGGACCCCTAAGGGCTGCAAAGGTTTTAGAACTGGTTCTGTACAGAGCGGGGCAGGAGGCATGAGAATACTGGATTTCCAGTGAGAATGGTGCATAATCAGATGTGTCTTCTAAAGAAGAAGAAGAAAAAAAGAACATCACTTTTATTGACAGTTAGGGCCACAGTGGAAATGAGACAGTCCCAAGAAGGATCAGCAGAGCAGAAAATGAACACAGAGGTGGGGTGGAGGGAGACTATATGGAGACTACTGGATTCAGAAGCTTCTACAGTGGTCCTTCTGGAAGGCGATGGAATCTGAAACAAGGCCATCAGAGTTGAGATGAAATGGGGGGGACCAATTAGAATGTCAACTTTTTTGATCAAAGGGCTTTTTTGATCACTCCTGTTTTCCTAACCCTAGAAAAATAACCGGCCACAACAGATGGTGAATAAATATTTGTTGAATGAATGAATCAGCCAAAAGACACAAGATATTTACAATGTAATAAACTAGAAGGAACTAGTGGGTTCCTAGATATAAAAGAGAATAATGAAAGACTTCAGAAAGGAGATAAACAGTAATACCTCTAAAGAACCTTAAAGATTCTTTAAAAAAAAAAAAGATTTTATTTATTTATTTGCCAGAGAAAGACACAGCAAGAGAGGGAACACAAGCAGGGGGTAGTGGGAGAGGGAGAAGCAGTCTTCCCTAGGAGCAGGGAGCCCGATGCGGGGCTCGATCCCAGGACCCTGGGATCATGACCCGAGCCGAAGGCAGACACTTAACGACTGAGCCACCCAGGTGCCCCAAACCTCTTAAAGTAAAGTAAATGCATCCAATGATGACTCATAAATTTCCTTAGATATTACTGTATTGTATTCTTTCTGGTTATAATTCTACAGGCTATCAAAATGTTTCCAAGGGCCACTTAATATTTTTCTTATAAACATGCCTGTTCTATGGACATAAACTTCTTACTAGAATTAAGGTAAAAACATTTTTCTCCCTGTCTGGTTATCTCGTAATTTAATTTTAGGGTTGATTTTTTTTTTTGAATACAGAAGTTTTATATTTTTATATTTTCAGAAGTAACAATATAGCACTTCCAAACTGAATCATTGTGTCAATGTCCATTTCCTGGTTGAGATGTCATGCTATAGCTCTGCAGAAGGTTATCACTAGTGGAACTAGGAAGGGTTTATGGGATCTCTCTACTATATTTTAACAACTGCACGTGAATCTGAAATGATCTCAAAATAGAAAGCTAAAAAACAAAAAACAAAAAACAAAAACAAACCAAACCCTGAATGATTCATCTTCCTAACTGAAGACCTTTCACACTGTAATGTCAAAAGGAAATCTTGGATTTACCTACAGCCCCTGGGAAACGGTTCCTTCCCCGTCTCTTCTTTATAGATGTGCCCAGAAGAGAAGGCTGCCTCTTTGCTGTTGTCATTGTGGCTTTCTCTTTTTGGGTTGCAATTCCAAAGTAAACACACCTCTTATTTACGACCTCCAAATTGCAAGATTATCACCATGGTTATTGTCACCGCTGCTCTGGGCTTTATCATTTCCTCTCCGGATGCGGTTTGTTCAGCCCCTAGCAGGTTTGCCATCATTTCAAAGGAGAGAAAGATGAATCCTTTCTGAGCGATCTGTGCGGCAACATAGTACAGTCTTGTTTACCTTGATACGATCCAGTCCAGACGGTGTGGAGAGGATGCCGGTTTAATCAGCATAGCCCCTGACTGTTGTGACAAGTGCAGATGCACAGCCCTAGCTGCGTGGTTGGTGGAGACAGCTCCATGTCTGTTTGCAGCCTTACCTGGGTGAGGTGGGGGGCTGCTGGGGCAGAGAGCAGTCTCACCAGAGGCTTGCCTCTTCCTGGCTCTGCCAGGGCCTCTCTGGTCTCAAGGCACCCCCGAGCCCCAACCTCTTCCATCATCAGGCACCTGACTCCTGGAAGGCGCTCTGCACGTGCTGGATGATGTAGCTGGTGTCCCCATTGCCCCGTGCACGTGATTTGTGTCTCAGTTGTAGCCACCCGCTCTTTGCACTATTGCACACACTCCCAAATATCTTGTTGAGTCCCCTTTGGCCCTTCTCAGACCCGTTTTCAGCAGGCAGCCAGAGTGATCCCTTCAAAAGATCCCTCCTTTGCTTAACACCTTGAGTGGCCCCTCGGGATAGAATCGGAATAAGGCACAAGGCCCTCCCTGACCTGACTACGTGCACCTGCCCAGCCTCTCAGCCCCTCCCTCTGCAGACCACCCTCCAGCTACAGGTATGAGACACATGCAGGCCAGCCCCACTCAAAGGGCTTCCGTGGAGCCCCAGAGTTCATAATGGGGAGCATGTGAGCTTGGTATCCTTGCCAGTGTCTTATGACATTGGGAGAGTATCCTCACCCAGGCTCCACTTCCTCCCATAGCGCCCAGGGTGTAATATCTGCTGGATGGCAGTTGTCTCTGTGCATTCTCACTGTCAGGGTGGGGGCAGGGAGCAGGTCACATGTGTGACTGCCGGCCACCAAGAGGCCACCTGCCCCAAAGATCTTTGCCTCCTAACCTACTAGTCTTGAAATCACCTTGACAAGAGCAAGCGTAGTGGTCCAGACACAGACTTCAGGCCATAATATCTACCATGAGTTCTCTGATTCAGTACAGTTGGACTGTCTCGAACCTTCCCAACAATCTCCATACCCTCCCCGCTCCTTCTTGCCCATGAATAGGCTATGCATGCCCCCACTCCAGAGTAGGTGCAGCATGAAGGCATGAGCTGGTAGGATATAAACGTCTATTACTGGGGCCTTGGAAGAGCTTCCTGTGATGGTGGGTGGAAGGTGCTGGAACAGGGCCAGAAGCAACAACAAGTTTAAGACCGCATTTGGAGAAGGACTGGGCTGGGATCCTGAATCCAGAGGCTGAGCACTGGCACACACCTGGTAACATCAAGGGCATTGGCCAGAACCCATTTTGACCGATGCAGGTAGGTTTGAAAGATTCTAGAACCAGGTAAATGGTACCGGTTGGCATGTCTAGGTAATTGAGCTTAGAAATCAACCAATCCAGCTCCACACTTCACAGTGGAGGAAAACAAGGTTCAGAGAGATTCTGAGGTCGTCTCTGTCTTACAGCTAGAAAAGGCCGGGAACTTTCATGAACAAACCAAGACCAACGCACTTGGATCACAGCATGATCACTGCAATGGAGCAGGGGTGCTGTTTGTGGCTGTTCAGGCCTTGTTCCTTGCAGACTGCAATATGAACAGCTTCACCTAGGGATGTGCAGTGCACAGACCACACAGCCATACAGAGAGATTTTGAGCCAGAGTTAGGGCAAAGACCAATAGTGACAAGGAGGTCCCATTGCACAGGCTGGATTCATGGTGGAACCAAAAGCAGGAGGCTGCCCTGGAGCTCAGACAGTGGCCGGCAGGGTCTCTCCCCAGAAAGGAGAGGAGGGTTCTTCTGGCAGTTGGTTCTGCAGGAGGCCATGGCTCAAGATGTTGATCACTGAGCGCAGGAACACCTGGGCCAGGCATTCACGGTCATCCCTCCTTGGTGGTCGGGGGCACCTAGAGCTTGGCCTGGTGGTCAGACTGAGTCAAGAGGAGCGTTCACCAGGTCTTGGCAACACACAGGCCCCAAAGCCCAAAGGGCAGAACAAGGGCAGGGTCACAGCCCAACAAGCAGGCCTACGCCAACAGGTATCTGGGATGTGAAAGGTTGGGGAGCCCGGGCGGTATCAACAGAGAGTCTAACCCTCACAAAGAAAGCACTGAAGAATTAATAACCCCTCCTACCCGCAGATCTTTTATTCTTTTGTGTATAATTGCTTTATAAACATCCGTGTATATTGCTTTATTTAATTCCATAGGAAGCCGGTGATAAAGGCCTTATTATCATCCCACGTCCCCCACGTGGGTTTCGCAGGTTACAGGAAAGGGCAAAATGAGAACTTGAACCTGTCTCTGGAGACTTGGACTAGCGTCCTGCTCCACAGCGCCCCCTTCTGGCCAGAGAGGAAACTTTCCTTCAGCGGCTCGGACTCGGAGCTGGGAGCCAGAGGGAGGGGGCAGGTTGGTGTGACCTGGACGATGGGGTCCTTACAACAGGTGGATTCTGGCCATGGAGACAGAGCCCTGTGTGTCTGAATCTCTGGGAACATTTCTACCTCAACGGAAGGAGAGGTCGACTCCTCCCACACAGCTGGTCCCGGCGCACCCGCGTGTGTCTTCCACAGCCCGGCTCTCCCTGGGAAACCTTCCTCCCTTCTTCGGACAGGTGAATCGTTTTCTTTTTCCGCTCACACGTCCTTCTGTCCTTCTTCCTGGCAGGCCCCAGCAACCAACCCAGACCAGCTGCCCCATCTTCTGTGTTCAAGTCATGGCCTTTAATATCCCACATTTCATAACGGATCAATTTGAGACTTTTTAAAAATGATTTTTCTTCTTATTAAAAAAGTATGTTCACCTTGCAGATAAGGTGGAGAATGTAGAAAAATGCAGAAGAGAAAGTAAAAATCACCTGTGGTCCAACCCCTGAGATAGAAATCCCATTATAATTTGTATCATCTCCTTCCAAATTTAAGTACATAACTGAATTTATAATTTAGTAATAACGTCTATTTTGTTAATTAACATTATGTTACAAGCATATTATGAAGATTTTTCCAAACATTCTTCAATGGTCTTATCACAGAGCGGCCCGTAGCTGGTGCCTATGACACAGCGGTTCTCCTTTATTGGACATTGCCAGTGTTCTCAAGTTTATTCTTTCGAACAGTGCTATATGGAAAAGCTTGGAGGTGAATCTTGGTCCTTGGGGTGGGGTCCTGAAAATGAAATCACTGGTCAGAAGATCCCAACAGTTGTAAAGTTCCTGGCAGTCATGGCCCAACTGTACCAAGCAGGTGTGAGCATGTGCAGCTCTCCCGCTGCCCCCTCCCCGCCCCACCTCACTGACAGGTGGCCAGGGGCCCGCGGGTTTTGCTTTTGTTTCAGGGTGCATTTATTTGGTTATCAGTCAGGTTGGACATTTTCTGCACGTATGGCTGAAATCTTGAAGGAGCCCACAAAATGGCAGCTCTTTCCCCTGCCTGCGGTCTGACAATTGCAGAAAGACCTAAGAGGGACAGAGGGGCTAAAATATCACCTCTATTCTTAACAAAGGTGAAGAGGGAGGAGGCGGCTTCATGTGAGGGCTCAATGGCTGTGAACTGCATTATGAATTCAACAGCCCCACTTCTCTGCATCCCGAGTAGTACCAGTTGGACAGATGGACGGATAGTCTGCTGGGACAGACCTTCCCTGGCGTGGGCACTGCCTGCTGAGTCTCAGCGTGGAGGGACAGAGGAGGGTCCCCCCACCCCGTAGGCATCTGGCTCCCCAAAAGAAGTAGGGAGCATGTGAGTAAGCACCCCTCTTTAGTTTTCAGAACGGTCCTCTTCTCTTACGGGAGCATTAGGAAGGGGCTGCAGTGACATCAGTTCATCTGGGGAGAATTCGCCCTGTTAGGGTGTTTGGAGAGTGAGGAGGGGTCACACTTCTCTACTGCTTTTAACAGCCAACTGTCCGTCCTTCTATTAGTGCACACTTTCTGCTGAGCTTGAGGTGCACAAGTGCTTTGTTGAGTCATTTTTAAATTTTTATTTGTCTTTTCCTCTTATTTAAAATGTTTTTGAATTATGAACGTTGTTCAATTATTATTTAGCCAAATCTACTATTTTATTTTTTGCATGCTGTTCCAATCTTGGAAATCAGCCACTGTTATCATCTTCATCAGAGTCAAGTGAGTCTCCTGTGCCAGGCATTCTGTAAAGCTTGAGTGTACGTTTATCTCCTGAAATTTTCACTGCAGCCCCTATCAGGAAGAAACAGCTCCCCAAACCACAGTTTGTCAGGCGCAGTGAGCTGCCGGGAGCTCGAACATGGCAGGACCACTGTGGTCCGACTCCAACTGCCGTGTCCCCAAAGGCCATGTCACCCCAGAGTCAGGAATTATGACTCAGGGCTCCCATCCCAGAGCCAAGCGTTTGGGAAATAAAAATGCTTATTTATATAGGCTCCTAATTACTATGCCAGGAAGCGAGCATGTCATTGCTGATGATTTGGGGTAGGAATGAGACAGATTCCAACTTAGGAATGATACAAAGCTACAGGAGAGGCTGTGACTCAGCTTAATGCTCCGTTTTGAGAAACATCAAAACTCCCACAGATTTATCTGTCTGCCCAGGGATTCAGCTGTTCCCAGAAACCATTCTCACCCTTGATACACTTGGTGGGCCCTTTTCTTTCCATTTGATTTATTTTTTTCAGTGACAGAAGTAAATCACTGACATTTTTAAAAAGCCACAGTAATGGATTTAAAAGGCCAGATATTCCCTCCTTCCATCAACTCTTGAGTAATACTTAAATAGTCATAAGTACTTAAATAATAAATAATAAAGAACAGGATAATATTAATTAATACTTTAATAATAAAAAATGCCACCATTCATGAAGTGCTTACTCTGTGCCAGGAACACAGCTGAGTCCATTCATCCACAAAGTAGAGGAGTCGGACACAGGTACGGGAATGGAGGTACAGAGAAGACAGTAAGAAGCCCGGGGTCCCACAGTCAGGACATGTCCGAGCTGGGATCTCAACAGCAATCTCTGATTCCGGAGCCTCTGCTCACAGCTAC